TTGCTTGTGAAGATGAGTTTATCTGAGAAGTATGGCCTTTGCTGAAGGCCATTGTAAAAATGCCATCTCTGTCTTTAAAACTTCGACCATATACAAGCAAATGCATGTACCCTTAACACTTTTGCTGTGCATTTTGAACTGTAATAGAATGAGTCATATCTGGAATGACTTGTTTCTCTTACAGGAGGCAACATCATTTACTTGTATCTCCCCTGTGAAAGGAGACAATTTTGTCACAGAAGAGTGTCTTGGAGGCTGCAGGGCCATTCCTGCCCTGCCCCTTGCTTGCTCTTCTTTCAGCCTGGTCCAGTGAATAGCAGTCCCAACAGCTGCTTCCACAGCTCATTTCTGCTGTCTCACTGGCAGAGGTCACTGTAGACCAGGGCCTGCTGGTGCACAGTAATATGAGGTTGTAGTCAACTGCTGTTCTATTTGCAAATGTGGAGACTTAAATGGAGTAGTAATTGTGCTTGTTTTCTAAAATAAACATGAAGTTTATTGTTTTAGGAGTAAAGTGGTGTTCCTAAGGCTGCCTGAGAGAGGGCTGACTGGATTGCTGTAATGCAGGATCAGTCTTTAACTGCACAATACCTGATGATTGCTACAGGACCTCTGCCTTATCCAGTGAGACTGACAAGTTTGAAAAGCTGAAGATGAGTCTGCTTTTGTAGACAGAAAAAGGAACAGACATTTAAAATGTTTCCCAGGGAGCCCCTAGAGGCCTTGTACTATGAATTAAGAAAAAGCAAATGTGGCAAAGATCACATTATCGTGTATAGCCTCCTTTCTTACAGTTTGGAGGCAATTACGGAGTATAAGGGCTTCCTTGATGTGGACAAGCAGGACTCTTGGTAGACCAGTAGCTAGGATAAAAGCCAGAGAAGTTGAAAATGAGAAATGAAGCAGAGATTTTAGTGCAGAGGTTTAAAATGTAGAAGGGAATAGCAAGGAGCGGTGGATGGTCACCTTTGCAGGGGAAAGGTCACTGCCCTGGGATTTACAAGCAGCCAAGTTGAACGGTCACATGAGGTCTGCAGCAAAGTCTGTGCCAAGCTGAAGAGCTGTTTATCCCAGAAACCAGGCTCTCAGCTGTGCTCCTGCAATAGGGACAAGGAGAAGGTTCCTGTGCCACTTGCTGCTGCTGCCACATTGTGCTCTGGGCTGAGCGAGGAGCATGCCTGCCTGCCTCCCTCCCTGGGCTGGCTGCAGCACATCTGTTCTACTTGCCCTGTCTCACCTCTAGATTGAAAACTTGGATATCCGAAGGGCTGAGCAGCTCTTCCCTTACCTGTACTCTTCTGCCATCCCTATTCTTGTCTTCCTGTTGGTGAAAGCTGTGCTGCCCCCAGGAGTTCACTTGTGCGCTCTCTCTCTCTCTCTCTGCAGGGGAAGGTTCAGGATGAAGGAAAGAGAAGAAATGTGGCAGAAAATAGAGGAGCTGGCCCGGCTGAACCCTCAGGTGCGTAACAGCAGGATCTGGGACAAACAGGACAAGAATGTGCTGGGGGAGCTTGGCTTGCTTCCTGAGCTCATGAGAGCAGGCTGTAGCACCTGGTCTCAGTCCTGTGCACAAGCTGCAGTGTTGGTCTGTCCCTTTCAGGCTGTGTTTTACCAGTTTAGACTTCAACAGCATTGACCTCCTGAATTATGCTGGTCAGGGTGTGTGTATTCATGGGCTCCCTTCTTGGCTGTGGCTATACATGCAGTTTGCTGTGGCTCGTTTGGGTGCCACAGGCAAAAATGGATGAGAGAAAACGCTCCTTTCCTGACTGTGCACATGCTGTGACCTTTGAGAGCACCAGAAAGGGCGACTGGAAAAAGTGTGCCATGCTCTGTTAGGATGCTGAGGGGAGGAAATTTGGTGTTGGGTGATGTGCTCATTCCCCAGTGTTCTGTGTTATCTGCAGTATCCCATGTATTATGCACCTCCTTCATTGCCTCTGGTCTGCTGTATGGAAACGGAGACCCCAACTGCAGAGGATATTCAGCTACTGAAGAAAACAGTGGAGACAGAGGCTGTGCAGGTGTGTAAGTGATGAGGGGCCTTCCAGAGACTGTTCTGGACATGACCAGTTAGTGCAGAGTCCAGCAGACAGAACAGCTCATTCAAAATGTCCTGAGGGTCAATGCCCCCTACTCTAATTCCTGGTTGTTAGAGATCAGCCTATGCAAGTGGGACTTTGCTGTGTCCTTGTGGTCTGTGGCTCTCAGCCTGTTCTGTAGCACGTCACTATGTCAGCCAGCAAAGCAGTTGGTATCAGAGGAAGGGAAGCCTTAGGCTGTATGGGACTGAAGGGGTGTGCTGCAGCTACCTGACTTCTTTGGTTTGTCTGTAGATGCTGAAAGACATTAAGAAGGAGAAGGTTTTGCTGCGCCGGAAATCTGAGCTTCCTCAGGACGTCTACACTATAAAAGCCCTGGAGGCCCACAAGAGAGCAGAAGAGTTTCTCACCTCAAACCAGGAGGCTCTCTGACGGGCTCAGAAGCTGGCCCAAGAAGCTATGTCCCATCCTTTTCCCCCAGGGGTCACAGAAATGCACTCGGTTCTCATGTATAATAAGGAATGAACATGGTGAGCCGTGCCTGTCCTCCACTCCATCCACATCCCTGCAGGATAGATCTGTTTTTATGTTGTACCTTGTATCTCACTACTGCCATATCCTCCTGCTTCTCCTCCTCCTTCCACACACACAGTGTGCGTGTGTGAAGGGAACCTGTCTGCCCTGCAGGTCCAGGCAGGGGTTGCTTCATTTCCAGCTACTGCCTGGTTTTTGCTCTTCCTGGGAGCCTTGCAGGGCAGGCAGGTGCTTCCTGTGGCTCTGCTAGAAGGAGGGCTGAAGGGAGCTGCTCTGGGCTCTCTGTAAGCACTAGAGAGAGCCCAGTCCCTCCGCAGCTCACCTCTGCGGGGCGGCTGAGCTGGGCAGCGGCGCAGTGCGGTCGATCTGTCAGGCTTCAGGATCAGCCTGAGCTGCCCAGTTCAACCCAGCCTGAGCCAGGTGTGTTGGCTGGAGACCGCCACACGTGGCTCAGTGTGCCGCAGCCATCCCAGGTGCCCACCTCTGCTGTGCCTGCCCCAGTGCTGCTTGCGGTGACCAGAGGCTGAGCGCACGGTGGGAACGGCTGGCAGAGTTTGTGGGGGCTCTGCCAGCTCCCCACCCTGCCTCAGGGTACAGCTCCGCAGTGGGAGGGGCTCACGTACAGCAGGAGATGTTTGCTTCCACCTTTCTTTTGCCTCAAGCCCCCCGTTCTGTTCCCCTGTTGGTGGAGTGGGGGTTCAGTGCTTCGCCACCCCCAGTATAGCTGGGTGCAAGCACTACATCTTATTGCTTCCCTCCTTTTAGAGCATCCTTAGAAGCTCTCTTGTGGGAAAGTAAATCCCTTCAGCTCTTTGTGTTGGTCCTCGCTAAGTCGTCTCCATTCCAATGTCTTGGGTAGTTGTGGGCCCAGAGTTAACTTCTGCTTTGTAGCAGGTGTCAGCCACTGACTTCTGCTTTCTTCCTCCTCTTCCTCCTGCTCAATTAAAATACTCCCGCAGCTTTCCCTCTGTGGTTCCCATCCTTAGCTCTGCAGTGGCTGGGGTTTCTAGGAAGCTTGTGCTGCTAAAGTCATTTCTGCAAATTAGTGGAAGCAATGGATACACGTTTACGGGGCCAGGCCAAGTTTGTGCGTGTTCAGTTGTCTCCTCTTTATGACCAGTGGCGAGATGCCACCATCGAATTGCTTCTGTAGGTGCTCTGAGCAGTTTGCCTCGCCTCTTCCTTCAGCACCTGCTGTGGCCTGAGGCCCTTGTTGGCTGCGTGGTGCAGCAGGGAAGTGCTGTGCTGTGCTCATTTAGTATTTAGAGCGCACTCGATAGCCCAGGGGCTTGTGCAGCACTCGGCTGCTACTGTGATCCAGCTCTCGGAGCTCTGTCTTCTACCTTCTTGTGGTGCAGATTCAGTCCCAGGCCAAGGTGATAAGCAAGGGAGTGGTCTTTGCTTCTTACTGCTGCGCTTGCTTGCTTGACACATAAGCTTGAGTGGGATGGCAGTAGTGCAGGGAGCTTACGGAGTCGGTGCCGGTCGGACACTGCTTTGCAGCATCCATAGTTCATTGCAGAAGGTCCTGGTGTATCTGCTTTGTCCCCGCCAGCAGACCCCTTCCAGGTTGGAGCTGGTGTGCAGCGCATCTCCTTTCCTCCCACCCAAACCAAGCTGTTCTCTCCCTGTGTATCCAGTGCCCCCTGCTCTCTTCAGCTCCCTTCAGGCATGCCACCATCTCTTGGGAGCAGCTGCCAAGCGTGAGCAGGGGAGGGATCACCCACACCATGCAGGACCCCGCCTCCCCTGGCTCCATGCACCGGGCCAATTCATCAGGAGACTTACAAACACCTCAGGGAGGTTATTGCTTATTTTGAACATGACTCTGAGCTCATGGTCAGCTGCCAGTCGATTACCTCACGTGAGCCTGGCGCAGCACGTAGACACGCCGCGCTGGAGGCGGGCGGGAGCGGCAGGTGGCGGGGTTGCAGTGCACTGAGGGTTGCTACCTGCAGCGGGGCTGGGGATGCTCCTTCCTCGTGCCGGGGCTGGAGCAGCGCTGCTGGGAGCAGGGCGGTGGTGCGCGGTGCCTCCGTGCTGTGCGGCTGCCACGTTCTCATAGCTTTGTGTGTCTCGTTCCGGGTCAGGGACCTCGCGCTCGGTACCTTCCATTGCCATTAGTTTACTGCCTCCTCATTCCAGTCCTGGACTTTGAAGAAGGGGACCATGAGAGGCGGGGGGAGCACGTCGGTGCTCTCTGCCACGCGCAGGCCTGCATCTGCCACACTACAGCTGCCCCTCACTCCACAGCCGGTCGGTAGCGTTAATGCTCATCTCTGCCTTTGCCTTTCCCCACATCAGCCAAATGGACAGAACTGGAGCTGCCTCTTCCACGTCACGTGGTCCCTCCTCGGAGGGAACGAGCAAAACTAACTACTGCTTTCACCCCCTGGACACGAGTATTAAGCTGCTTACAGTTCATATGTACATATGGTGTACTTTATTTTCAGTAGAGCATTACATAGTATGAAAGTGTTGGATTTTGTACAGATGTCCCTGTATGTACAGTACTAAATAAAACCGATCTCTTGGAAAGACACGTTGGGCTCGACCTGCGCTGGCTGACGTGCACTGTGTGTGTGGGGGGGGGGGGGCTCTCCGGGACGGCGTTTGTCCCGTGCCGACCCGGGCACAGCCGGTCGCAACGCGCCCTGCCCGCGCACACGGGGTCAGAAGCGGTTCCTGCAGCACCGGGACGGCGCGGCCAGAGCCGGGCGGGAGAGGGAGGGAGGTCGGACCGCGTCAACGGGCGGAACGGGGGCGCGGGCGCCGGCGAGCGCCGTCGGCGGGCAGGAGGACGGAGGGAGGATGAGCCGCGGGGCCGGGCTCAGCCTTCGCTCCGCTTCACTTCCACTCGGGCCCGGAGCTGCCCGCGCCGTGCCGGGCCTGCAGCGCGCGCTGCACCACCGCCTGCCACTGCTCGTCCGAGATCTGGCTGGCCCAGGCGGGGATGCCCAGCGTGGGCAGCTTCACACCCGCCATCGTCCTCTTCACCAGCTCCACGTGCTCTGCGGGCAGAAAGCCGTGAGCGAAGCGGGCCGGCGCGGAGCCGCGAAGCCCCCGAGGAGCCGCCGTTACCTGGGTCCATGGGGATGGAGCCGCGGCCGCCCTGCGCCGCCGCGCCTTCCTCCTCCTCGTCCTCGCTGTCCGCGGGCGGCTCGGGCAGGTGCAGCCTCAGCATCTGCGCCAAAAGGGGACGGCGGTGCGTCGGGGCCGCGCTCCCTCCGCCGCCGGCCTCCCCCCCGCCCCCCGCCCCGCGCCGCCCCGCTACCTGCAGCCGTTCCTGGAGGCCGGGGCCCGGCTCGGCGCCGCCTGCGGGAGGGCCCGGCTCGGCGGGGCCCTGCTCCGGCTCCTGGCTCAGCGGCTGGTACAGGTACCCGCCGGCCCCCTCTTCTTCTTCTTCCTCTTCCTCCTCCTCCTCCTCCTCATCTTCCTCGTCGCCGCTCCATCCCGCCGCGCCCTCGGGGGCCTCCGGCGGCCCCGGCTCCTCGGGACACACCCGCTCCGGCCCCATCCTCCGCGCCACCGCCATGCACCGGGCGCGGCCCCGCCGCCACCCGGAAGCCGCCCCGCCGCCGGGCACTGTGGGTGCCGTAGTCCCGCGGCGGACGCCGCCCTCCGGAGGGACCCCCGCCCCCTCGGCCGCCCCGCGGCGCTCCGTCGGGGACCCGCCGCCCCAGCGTCCCGAAGCCCCGAGGTTCGGCGGGTCCCCGTCGGGCCGCCCGGAGGCGGGAGGGAGGAGAGGAGGGAGAGGAGGAGGGACGGAGCGGCGCGGGGCGGGCGGGGCGGCGCCGGACTACAAGTCCCAGCGAGCGGCGGGCAGCGCAGCGAGGCGCCGAGCTCCTCCGCGCCGCCAGGTACCGGGCTGCGGCTGCTGGGGGCGGCCGCCGGGGCGGAGCGCGTCGCGGCGGGGCCGCGCTCGGGGCCGGCGGCACCGCGGCGCTCCGGGACGCCGAGCGGGGCGGGGGGTGCGGGCGGCGCGGGGCGAGGCGGGGCGACCGCGGGGAAGCCGTTCGTCGGGCCCCGTTCCTCGGCGCGGGGAGGCTGAGGGCGTGCGGCGGCCTCCGGGCCTCGCGTGCGGGGCTCCGTGTGCGCGGGCGGCCCCGGCGCTCGGCCTCGGCCGTGCGGGCTCCGGGTCGAGCCGGCGGGTCGGCCGGCGCCGTGGCCGCGCATCGCGTCCGCCCCGGTAGCCGGAGCGAACTCCGCCGGGCTGCGGTGCCTCAGCGGGCAGCTCTGAGCCCCCGGCCGCGCGAGCACGGCCTCCTCCGGCGCTGCCGAAATTGCGCTGCCGAACGCGCGGGCTCGCGGCTTGACCCTGCCGTAGCGTAAATGGTCAAAGCACGGGGTAAATGTCAAGCCCGAGCGAGGAAAGCGGGCTGCGCTCAGGCTATCTCTGACGGTACGTTGGGCATCCCTGAAATAGAACGATCTATATGGGCTGTGCGAGCCGCCTGCGCTATTTTAAGTGTTACTGAACCTCACGGCCGGCATCTTTTGGGAGCCGGGGAGCGAGGCGGCCGCACGGTAGGGATCTGCTGCGTGCCGGCTGACGAGGAGAGGGCTGAGCGGGGCGGGGGGCAGCTGGGACGGCTGCGGGTTTGGGTGCGGAGCGGAAGCCGGGCAGCGCAGCGAGCTCTGCGCCGAGCCGTGCGTCTGAGCTGTGCTTTGGGTGCCGTGCTGAGTGCTGGAGGCTTTCTGTCCCGAACGAAACGTTTTCGCAGCTAATTATTAGACTTGCGGGTAGCGAATAAAGCCGCTGAAAGATCCGGGTGTGAAAACCGTGGCTGTTGTTTTTGCTTTTTTTTTTTTTTTTTGTCCGCCCCTCCTTTGGTCCGAATCGCCGCACCAGATTTGGAAGGTGTGCTGGGGGGGAAACGAGCGAATTGTTGTCGGGTGATCTCAGCCGCCGATGTTCTGTGCTGAAGGAGTGCCGGGAGGCACACGCTGGGGCAGCTGGAGGGAAGGCTGCTCCGTGCTGGCTGTGCTCGGCACCACGAGCGTTCTGTCGGGGCTCCGCACTCGAAGAACACGGGGCTGTGCGAGGCTCCAGCAGCACAACGCCTCTCGCTGCCGGGGAGCGGGGGAGGTGTTGAAGGACGTCCACGGCTGTTCCTCCGCCAGCAGACTTGGGATCCTTCATCTGTGCTCGGCTGTTCCGCCCGGTGCAGCGTTGTGTCAGCGTGCTGATCTGCGGTTGTGTGCGGCGTGCTTGGAAACGCACCTAGGTGTGTAATGCTGTGCGTGGCAGGCGGAGGGCTGCAGGTGCTCTGCAGGGACCCTTCACCACCACCTGGACAGCATCCGCTGCTTTGCCAACCAAGAGATTCAAGCTGAACTTTTTGGCGGTGTGAAATCACGCCTTTCGATCTGCTCCGAGCATCTGCTGTTGTGTTGGGTCAGTTTGGGGTGCCAGGTTTGCCCAGCGTGCTGCCTCCTGCAGTGTGCACCCATCTGGCTCTACCATATCTGTATTTCTCTGCTTTAGAGCTGAGATCCCTGTCGCCCAAAGTGGGAGATCACAAATGTGTTTTGTGTGGCTGCGTGCCGCGCTGCTGGGATCGCAGCTTTTGGGGTTCCTCTCCCTCCCTGGCTGTGCCCTCTGTAATCCTTATACTGAACAACTCTAAGAACTGTCCAAAGCCAAGTGTGTTAGTTCTCCTGCTAAGAAGTTCTCCTAGTAGGGAGCCCCTAAGGATTGCTTCACTCTTCCCATACTTTTCTCTGTGTAAAGCCAGTGCATGTCAGCCTGGTGTGATGAACAGCAGCAAGAGGCAAGATGGATTATGCATCTGTTTGCTTGGAAAGGACTCCAGTCTCCAGGGCAAAGGTGATGTATCTGAAACACAGCCATGAACTCAGGTGCTGTCACCCAGTACCACCCCTGGGTGTGTGTGAGCTGGCAGCTTTGTTGTCAGGGATGAGCTCTCGAAAAACTTTTCCTGGTAGGTTCAGCCTTGAGTAATTTTAATTGTAGGAAATAACATTGCAACACTGTTTGCTGAGAAGTAAACATTGCTTCTCATAGCCTAAGCAGGGCTATGGTCTGCTGCTGTGCAGGGCCAGGTGATTCCTTGGGATGTGTCACTGTTGTTTCCTGTATTCCCATGATAGCTTGATAATGAAGCTGCTCCTGGTAGTGATGGACCAGTGGCCTGCTCTGTGGGGAGGCTTCCTTGGCAAGCATCTCTAGCTGGCTCCAAGGGGAAGAAGAATCTCATAAAATCACAGAATGTCCTGGGTTGAAAAGGACCACAATGCTGATCTAATTTCAACCCCCCTACTATGTGCAGGGCTGCCAACCAGCAGACCAGGCTGCCCAGAGCCACATCCAGCCTGGCCTTGAATGCCTCCAGGGATGGAGCATCCACGACCTCCTTGGGCAACCTGTTCCAGTGCATCATCACCCTCTGGGTGAAATTTCCCTGATCTTTCTACCATAAAAGTAGTGGTGGTGGAGCCAGGAGTTGGACCTGGTGTTCCTTGTGGGTCCCTTCCAACTTGGGATATTCTATGTGAAGTGAACTGCTTTGTAAAATGGTGCCTGTCTGCCCCAGGAGGAGCACTGGCGATGTTGGCACTGCTGGTGAAATCCACTTCAGGAGCCACCTCCAGCATGGCCAAGGCAAGGAGTGGCTTTGAGGAAAATAAACTCACATTGGTTGGGTTTTTCAGGGATGGCCAAAGAACAGTTAATGGGTATTCCTTCAGAATCGCCTAAAAAGTGACTTTGGTGGTCTCCATGGAAACTCTTCTGTCGCTTTGTGGAGGACTTGTAGGACAGCTGCTGCCTGGCTTTGAGGAACAGAAAGGCATTACAAGGTGGAACCTGAAGGAGAAGCGGCTCTGCAGGAGGGACGCCTTGACCTGACTTGCTTGCAGGGGAGCTCGGCTCAGGCTTGGCCTGTGTCCTCTGGTTATCAGTTTCACTCTGGCTCCTTCCCCAGCTCTGAGGAGCTGGAGATAAGGCATGAGCGTGGTGCTGGGCCGCGTGGGCACCAGGGCTGTGAGCTGCAGCCCTGCTTACCTGGAGGGCCTGGGGCTGAGAAATAAACTCTGCACCACATGGCTGCTTCAGGAGGAGCGTTCCCCTCATGCGAATTCAACCACTTTCCAAAAAAAAAACCAAAAAACCAGGCTAAGAAAACGTGTGGGGATTTTAGTCATCGTTCTGAGGCGTCTGCACATTTCTTCGCCTTCTGCAAATGCTAAAATCGAGCGTGGGGGGAGCGTGCTAAGTCTGAGGAGCGGAAGCCGAGCAATTAAAAAGGGGGGTTTCTTTGGGCTGTTTGAAATGCTGACACATTCTCCTTTAATGGCTGTTTTTCAGCTGGGGACAAACCGCTCACCGCTGTGACAGAGGTGCTGTCTCACAAGTGCCTGGGCAGGGCTGTGCTCCGAATCCTTGGGTGCTGGGAGAACCTCTGCAGAAATCCACCCTGCTGAACGCCCCGGGAGCTGCTCTGTGCCGCCTGCTTGCAGTGTGAGTTATCATCCTACCTAATGTGCAGAGCTACTTACGGTGGGAGGAAGGGGCTTATCCTGATGCTGAGCGATCAGCACGTGTGAGTGCTGCTGTTGCAGTGCACACTCCTACTGGGGACTCTGTTGCTTTTGGAGGGAGGTGTTCTTTTGGGGTGTTTTGGATCGGTTGTCATCCTTGCGGTTGTTTCTTTTTTTTTTGTTTTGGTTTGGCTTTTTTTGCTTTTTTCCCCTCCTCTGGCATTTCTCACAACTGATCCACAGACCGCACTCTTCCCCCGGCTCTGTTCTTTTCACCTTCGTAGTTGGCTCTCGCTGTGTGCATTCGTTCATGCAGACAAATTGTTCTGGCACGCACATCGTGTGTACATCACTGGGGCATGGCTGGCGCACAGCTCGCTGCCTTCACAACAACCTCTTGGCTTGTGCTGCCTGCGCAGCCGCCCCGAGCTTTCTGCGTGCGAGGGCATCTCTGCTCGCTCTCCTCGCTTTGCTCAGGTTACGGTACCCGCACTGCATCTCCTTTCCAAGGAGAGAGCAAGACCATCTTCAGCTGGAAGGCAGATGAGTGAGGGCGCAGCAATGTGACCTTCATAGCTGGCATTCAAAGAAGGCGGGGAAGGCCGCGAGATGGATGGTGTTATTTTAGCATGATGCCTTTGTTACAGAGCCAGGTGACGTCTGCCCGGCATGCCGACGGCCTGAGAAGCATGAGGCTGTGGTGCTGGGAGCCCTGAGGAGCGCCGGGCTCACAGGAGGGATGTTACGGTGGGCGGTGCACCTGGAAGGCGGGCCGCGCAGGGTGAACCATGCGGCCGTGGCTGTGGGGCACAAGGTGTATTCCTTCGGTGGGTATTGCTCTGGAGAAGACTATGAGACACTGCGGCAGATCGACGTCCACGTTTTTAATGCAGGTAAACGTGGGGTGTAAAGGAGCGCTGTGCTCAGTTTTCGGTTCTCTTGCACGCTGTTGCTTGATGCGTTCCGCTCTGTTCTGTGCTGTGATTGTGGCTCGATGGAGGTTTTCCATTCTGGCAGCAGCCAACTGGTTGGTATCACACAGGTTTGCGCTGTGCTAAGCAAAGCAGTCAGAGTCCATCTTGTAGAGGACCCAGTACATATCTGAGGACTGATTCAAACCGTGGCAGTGCTGGGAGAGGCTGCATTCCTTGATT